TATATATATATATATATATATATATATGATAAACAATAAATTTAATATTCAATATTATTAATATAATATTGTTTTTAAAAATGAATAAGAATTAATATATTTAAATTTAATTATAAACTTTTCATATTAAAATTTTATAATTTAATAAAAAAAAGATATTTTTCACAAAAATAAATGAATGAAAAAAGAAAAAAAAAGTTACAAAAATTCAATTTAATTTTTTTCATAGAAAATAGAGATAAGCAATAAAGGTGCGTTTGATTATCAATATTTTTCAAAAATGTATTTTTCATATAAATTTCTACTTCTATGCTATTTGATTGATATTTTTTCCATGGGAAATATTTTTTTAATTTTGCATCACATGACCATATTTTTCTCAAAATTAAAGAAAATATTTTCTTGAAGGGGAGAATGATTTTATTTTTCAGAAAATTCATTCTCTGTTTCTCTATCTCATTTACCCACTAATAAACACTGAACAAATTTAATACTTTTTACGTTGAAAACTAAATCAATCATACATTTAATTGACAATTTTCATGTAAATAAGTTCTAGGCAATTAAATTACCTAAAATTTATTTTCTTTCAATTTAAATTCTATGTTTGCAATCAAACACACCCTGAGAGAGAGAGATGAAAAATAAATATAATCAATCGAAAAAAATAAATTTTAATAATACATGTCTGTAGAATGTAAAAGGAAAGAAATATTGAAAAAATAAAGACAAAATTGTGAAAGTCTCCAAAATCTCGTGATTAATGAGAAATAAATTTTAAGATTTTATATAAGTATTTTCTACTTAAAAGTTGGTACTCCGAAGTCATTAAAATTTAAATGCCCCAAGACTTAAAAAGTTATAATTGAATATACCATAACTTTTAAAGATTTTTTAAAAGTCTATAAAAGTTTCAAGTGAATACACCGTGACTTTTAGAGATTTCTTAAAAGTTTATTAAAGTCTCATTGAATATATTAATACTTTTAGAGAATCTAAAAAAATCTCAATTGAATACTCCTAAATTTTTTAAATCCCCAAACATCAATAGAAGTCTCAATTAAATACACATTTTAAAGAGAAACTTTACGAAATATACGTTCTATTTATTCACTTTACATAATAGAATAATTTTCTTAAAGAGATTTATCAGTAAAAATAGTTAAATAGACCAAAAATATTATACACTATTATATTATTATTAGTCATATTTATACCAAAAAAATTATGCACGTATTCTTAACAATTTTTAAGTTGCAAAATTACCCCACCTAGATACAATGTGTATATTGGAAGTTTCCCTTTTCAAGATAAAAACTTAAATTTTTAATGGAAAAAAGGGTATAGGAAAAAAAAGAGGGAGACGCTTTATCATCTGATGATAATTAACCCTAATTTAAGGTGAATAGTGCTACATAGCATTATTCAAAACAAAAATAGCAAAATTCTAATTTACGAGCCCGGCCTTTACCTCCCAACCCCCACACCATAGTCTAATCCTAGCTCTCACCTCCTTGCCTCTCCACAAGCGTTTCTAGATAACGTTATCTAACGCAACTAAATTAACGCCGATTTAGATGACAACATATTGTGTTCAATTAACTCTATATTCTTAAAATTAAATAAATATATCATTTAATGTCATGTATTTCACCACTTAAGTACCTGTTTTACAACCATTATTTTGAAAAATAAATAAATAAAAATTAAATAGTAATTTTTGGAAAAATGTGTGATTAATTCTTCCATCGTTCTCTTTGGCACTTCTAAAATTGAGTTGGGAATACAAGATGGGAAAGATCAAAGGAGGTTATTTTTACAATTTTTTTTCTATTTATTTAATTTACTTTATTTTTAATTTTATTTAGCAATGTTAAATCATAATTGGACAATATCTGAAGCTACATTTAAGAGAGTGGAACTCCAATCTTTCTCTAATGTTATAAATTAATCCAAACAAAAACAATAATAGTTTCTTCATAATCCGTGAAATACATTTCACATGTGGAGTACACGGAGCAGAACCAAGTATTAAACTCCCAAAACCATCATTGAACAGAATTCCTAGAATGCTAATGATCTTAAGACAAGTGAAAAATGTTCATTGGATGCTATATCATGACTGTAAAAACTGTACAAGAATTCACATTAGCTCTCTAAATTTTTCTTGTTTCAAGTCAAAAATCCAAAATTTAACAGGACTTGGGAAACATGAATACGATGAACCAAAAATCCTCACCCAGTGGAGCTCATTAAAGTCTTCTTCCTAGTTTAATCTTGATTAATCCACGTCACTGCAAGATCTTTTACTCTGTGGAGATCACTATCTAAACTTCCATCAATCTTCGTACTCATAAAGAAGCTGCAACCAACACGAAGTGAAAGATGAGTCATGATTTTCAGCCCATCATCATATTCAGAGAGAGAGAGAGAGGAGGAAATTTCGAAAACCATAATGATGTTTATGTACCTCAACAAGAAACATTCTATTGTACACAAACAACACTAGGCGAAGGCGCAATATTTCGATCCAAAACCAGTTAATTTTTAGCAAATTACTCAAAACAAAAATGTCAGGACTGCACACCATCTGCATCAGAGTCACTACCAGTGGAACTCCCAGAATCAGAATCTGTAAAAGAAAGCTCAAATTAATGAGCACTCCATGAACAATGTCTTTTGATATCGGAATTCCAAGGAAGAAATTCCTCAACACAGTGTAGAAACGCAAGAATCAGTACCACTGGAAGATGAGGAACTGCTACTTGAGCTGCTGGAACTGCTGGAGTCACTAGAGGCATTACCATGATCGCGGTCTTGATCATGACCACCTCCTTCATCCTTCTCAATCTCCACATGAGGAAAGTTTGTAGCAGGCATATCGTCATCAATGTCCACATCCTCATCCTCGTTCTTTTTAGGCCTATTTTCCAAATCATTCCCCTCGCCCATTCCATTCTGAAATATATAAACAGCATGTGAACTTCGATATTTCCCAAATGCAAATCAGGAAAGAAAATAAAATAATATATCCTGGTCATTCAGATACAAATGAAATGTGAATAGAGCATTACCGTATCAGCTTCAGCAATGGAAGAAGTCGGTGCAGCAGTATAATTGTTGTTCATCATTAAAGCTTGCCGCTTTGTCTTGCTCACCATCTTCTTCCAGTTAGTCACGAACCGATCAAGTTCCCAAAGAGTCTCAGTGTCAAGGGCTTCAATATCGAGCTCAATTTCATCGCCATCTTGCGCCAAATGTTCATTCCTCTTCCTGATAATCTGAACCAATTGTGGCATTTTCTCCTGAGGTAAACTCTGCAACCCAAGCCCAAGCTTATGTTTTTCTTCCATACTCATATCCCTCTTATTTGGATCCTTCGCTCTGGGCTTTGGCTGCTTCACTGTTGGCCCTCTTACCACTCTCTGTTCCACTACTGGCAGGGGGGCTATCACAGGAGAAGCGGTTTCCTCCCGAATTGGATGATCCATTGGCTGAGGATGATAAGAAGGCGTCGAAGAACTCGAATGTGTATGCATTGGTGCTGTCTCAGGTTTCTTTGGCATTTGAGGATCTGGGACCGGACTTGCCCGTGGTTTATATTTTTTCCCCATACCAGGGGATGCAATAATCTGATTATTATTATCCCATGAACTGCCTTGCAATTCTTCATTAACCGAAAATTGCAGTTCATCATTAGCCCGAAATGCTTGAAATTCTCTCTCTCTACTTTGCATATAAAAACGGTCAATCTTTTCTTGAATCGGCCTAAACAATTCCTCAAACCGTGCTAATAACTGCTCCGCCAGAACATGGACCTGATCGGTTTTCGGATTATACAACAGAGCATTATTAAAAGTCAGTCTCACATCTGCGGCAAACTCAAGAGGCGTAGTATACAGATCCTTGGCAAGAATTGACTTTACCGTCCCAAGATCCATAGGCTGCTTAACAATCTGATGATAATCAAGAAGCCCCAAGCCCGCTGCATCAACAGGTGTATTGAAAATCCACCCATTCTTGCGTTTCATCAATTTAGTCAAAATCTGCTTGCATTGTTTCAACATATCTTGGTAATTAATCACAGGCTCCAAACCAAAATTTCCCTTATCTAATCTACTGGACAGCATATTAGGGTCTTTATTAGATACGAACGAAGCTCCAGGCCGCTTATGGCCCCGCAATTTCTTTGATTTCCCACTAGATCTTGAATGGTTGTTGATGTTGAATTGACCCGAATCTATTCGGGCACGGAACTCTCGGATCTGTTCAAGCTCTGCAGCCAAGCGTCTGCGGAAATCGAGGAGCTCAGATTTTGAGTACGATGAGACATTGTAGGTCAAAAATTCGCCATGATTAAATCCGCTACGGCTTGTCGACGTCTGGTTGAAGGAGTAACCATCGTCGGAGGCAGTCTGTGTGACGACGGGGGAATCATCATTATAACGCCCAGCTGATCCTCCGTTGGTGGCTACATGGTGGAATTGTTTTTGCTTTTTCTTCGGGTTAGAATTAGGTTTAGGGTTTGCATTCAGTCGAGAATTCGAACTCGAAATCTTCTTCCCCATGTGGACCCAGCTAGATTCATTCTGACTAGCAAACAAAGCTGACGCCATAATTGCAACGGCGCAGCTCAGCTCCGGCGAATCTCCAACAAAATCTTTCCAAAAACATATATACAATCTTTTTCAATTGAAAACGACTCAAACGCCACGCGCTAACCAGAATCTTCGCCGAACTTTAAAAACTCCGATCACCAGTCGCCGGCCGCTAGCCGTGGAAAGATGGATACGAAAAATTGCGGAGGTGTAAGGAAAAATCGTGCGGGTGTAAAGATTGGGTTTTTGCCGGAATGAGCGAGAATTGGAGTGGGATCGCAGGCTTCTTAAAGGCGGTGAGATCTGCCCAGAAAAATTACGGGCAGTTTTTGGGCCGTCGATGTTCCAGGAGTAGATGATCGATGGGTGGAAATCAATTTCTTTGCAGGCTGACCGGGACATCATTCATGGACGGTTAGATGAGACATACTGTTTGCGTGACATTATCTGAAGCGTCAGATTAGAGTTTAATTGGAGTGAATTTGGGTCACGTGTGGTGAATTTAGGGTTTCATTGAAGTATGGGCCCCACATAGTGGCTAACCTCGAAGGTAAAGAAATTTCGTGACGTGTCAGTTAGATCCCGTCAATGGCAAATTATACAATTAGTCTATGAGTACAGAAAAATAACACAGAATGCGTACAGGAATTTGAAACCGCTGAGTTGGCAGCTTGCGTTTAATTTACACTTTACCAAAAAAACCGGGCCAACTCCAAAACCGGTTTGAAGCCAAAAACTTAACCTGCCTTATCCCCCAAATTGAAATTATTCATGATTCCCCCAAAACCCCAAATCCCGCCCGCAGCTTTCTTTCATCCTGAACCTGAAGATCAAATCTGGCAGCCTGTGATTGTTCCCGCCGGTAAACTAACTGCCGCACACCGTTGGTCTTAGCTTGAAGACGAAAGCCCACCGAAACCCAACATCGAAATCCTATTTGAAGACGGAAGTCGAAACGTAGATGATGGACAAAGGTATTTTACTTCTTGGTTCTAGATAGGTTAGCTCATACATTGAAGTAGTAGTCGAAACATAGATTACGTATGCCACAAGTAGCTCTCGGAAAGAAAAAATGATATATAGGAATCAGATTCCGAAGATAAAGCTTACAGGATTTATAACATCAATTATTTCACATGCCTATGATTCAACAAACTTCCCACCTATATAATTAATAACCTTCAGCTACAATTGAACTCAGACCACCAGCAAAGAAAAGAAAGTCAGAAGTTAGTGTCCACTGCCATTTCGACAAGGAGCCAAGAGAAATATATAGTACATAAAAATACTTAATAGTTGAATTTGTAGCCAATTTAGAGGCCAAATGATGGTGAAAAAATATCCATATTTTACTCAATTTAAGTGCAAGAGTGTAGTAAAATAGTATCTTCATTATAGAAATTCATAAATAATTTTTTTTTTTTTTCCCATCTGAGGCAGGTTAATTAATGTTAGTGGCAGCGTCTTGGTTTTGGTTACATATAATTTGCAACTTCTAACAAAATTAAAATTTTTTTTGCAGGAAAAGAGATTATGAAAGATGAGAATCATGATTTGTTGGTAGAATGTGATAACGAGAACACAATGGCCAATTTGAACACACTGGACAACGGACAATTAGGAAAAGATGCTGCAACTACACCCGAGGTGGGTATGATGTTTAATAGTGAAAAATAGATGTTGGAATTCTACAAAAGATATACTTATACCGTAGATTTTCCAGTGAGGATAATGTCGTGTGGCATCTTTTATACTGTGCCAGTTTCTTATTTTACCATTCAGCAGATACATTTCAATACAAATTGTCTTGTAGAATCATAGCAACCTAAAATTATCACACTTTGTTTTCTGTAGAACCAACTCTCTCAGCTGCATGACTTGTTGACGTTGTTCAATGACTTGTTGGGTGCAGTAATTTAAGGTCACATTCTCATTTTCTGGAAATTCACGTCACCTGGACAATTGTTTTACTGGATTTGAATGACGCTAGTGAATGCATAAACCCCAAAGTTTATGTAACTTGTTTGTGGTGAACTGGGCTGATTTGAACAACTTAGCTTGGTTGTGATGTAATTGGCTTATTTATTTATTTTCCTTTTTTCAGTCAATTGTATATTTGAACAACTTTTTCTATCATTGATTTTTATTAATTTTAGCATAATTTAGGATTTTGATAATCAAAAACCTTATAGTTAATTGTTACTCCATTATGGTTGGCACTGGTGATATCAGAATGATCGATCATGAAGTCCATTATTGTGTCATAAATTTTTTATCAGTAAATTGATGAGTCAAAACTACATAAATTTATATCATACAACGTAGGATTATATCATTTCGAATTTTATTTATTATTGTGTCTTTTTCACCCAAATACTCTAATAATTAAAGTATTATTGCCCCATGAATCCAGTTTCTAATCAATCCCATGATCAGTCAACTTGCTCCATCTCGATATTGATGGGAGTTTAAGTGATCTGCATTGAATCCAATATAACTAGGCACCAGCAATTTTCCGGAACAAAGATTTTCAAAAACTTAAAGTTCATTCCAATGACAAATATGCCATGCAAATACGTAATCACAGCAACGGCCAATCTGCATAAGTTAGAATCCTCAAGTCACAACGAAAATGTCAAAATCTTTCCACAATTTTTATGCATCTTCCACAAATTCATGTCGTATAAGAAACATACATGAAACATAAATCCACGCCATTAATATATTACAATGGTTCACAAGACAAACAATGATAAGAAGCTTAAATCCAACCCGTTAATATATCACAATGATTTGCAAAATAGTAAACTTATGTCCAACGCTCGAACGAAGTTGACAAAATTAACCGTTGTACATTAAAGCCTACTAAATTCAAGAACTTCGTACGTCAGAAAAGAAACTAATTTTTGTAAGTTTGTACGTTGCAAACAAGACATATAGAAAATACTTGACATCACCCATTCAAGTCGGCCCCTTTTCTTTCTCATCGCATTGGAAAATTCCTTTTCCTTTGCGAAATATTACGTGCAATGATATATTGATGTCTCGTTTCTCGATAATTTGAGCTAGACTGTCAAAGATTCTTGGCAAGTCTTCATATTCTTCGTTGGGCTTATGATTCACCGCTTCATTAACGGTACTCGATTCCCCACTTAAATCTTTATTTTTCACCTAGTTGAAATACCCATAGACGTTACTACACGTGAGAACAAGTGCCCTTTGTTTCCAGTATCCCGTTCGATCTCAAAATATTTTCGAAATCCGCATTTACATGAAAGGCATCTAAGTTTTGTTTGGCATTGTCCAAGGTAGTGAGTGTTACATCTACAGCCGTGACAAACTCCAAAATTCCTTCCTCTCATTCTAATCAACTGTTGAATAAATAAATAAACTATCATGAATGCAACTGAATTACGGAATCCCACTTTGGAACATATGTTCAAAATAGAGCGAATAATTAGTCATGGATGACTCTATCTAAATGAACTAGACAATGAATAAATCATAACCATTATATTCTAGTCATGCAGTGCTATAACAACTCAAACTTAAGACTGTACCTCGATCCTCAATAACAATAGAGGTAAAACGTGGATGTTCTCCATCGCAAACATTTTCCTTTGTTTGATTAAGAAGTTGAAAAATGACAAAAGTTGTAGTCAACATAGATATAACTCTAAAATTCTAAACCTCTACGTCATTCCAAATCATGTTTTTTCCCTATCAGAATAGGTATATACACAGCCAACCTACATATGAGAAATCTTCATTCCTAAACCCAACAACTCCCGCATCAAACATAATTCGACTCCTTTGACACGAAATACGAGAAATTCGAACTACGTCTACAACCAAGAATCTTCATTCTAAGACCCAAAGAATCACACATGGTATCTTGTATAAGAAGTTAGGAACTTATTTCTTACATAAGAAGCAAGCGAAAGAACCTTGTGAACCGGTACCGGGGCTGTGAAGGCAAGACCCGAAATCGCTTGTGGGAGATTTTATTCGCGTGCCAAAACAAGATTTTTTTCGCATACCAAAACAATGGGACAGATAAGTCTTGCGATGAATGCTCTTCCCCCGCATCGGAAGGCGTGTTGAAAAATAATAGCAAATAATAGTGTTACCGTAATATATATTTGGGCAGAGTAACGACGTTTGGATGGTTTTGAACGGTCGAGGCAAGAGTTCGACTCTTTCTCCTTAAAACGATAATGCCCCGCACTGGTACTAACGGTATTGCAGCACTCGTTTTCCAAGATACAACGACCTCGTCTTGTAATAGTAGTACTCCAAATTACAAGACCCGACGAACTCGTAAAGTTTAGATCTCTCCACACACACTGGATGAGTGAAATGCACGAAAAGTAATTTTCGAGAACTGAATTATAAGAACAGAAATTATACAGGGACAAAGGGATAATTTCGGGAGAGTAGAAAATCAATTCTGATTTTTTGGAATGAATAAAAATCGAGGTATGAGGGCCTATTTATAGATGTTGAAAGGTTGTGTCCCAACAGACACAACTGCCGAAAAGTTGTGTCCAAAAGACACAAATGGTTTGGACAGTCAACAGCCACTTTGGACAGTCAACCGTCACTTGGACAGTCAATCGCCACTTTGATAGTCAACCGTCACTTGGACAGTCAACCCGCTAAATTCTAGAAGCACCATACCACGTGTCACACGCAGAAAATTCGGGGAAGGAAAAAAAAGTTAATAACATAAAATATATTATTATTATAATAATAAAATAATATAATTAAATGTTATTTTACTAAAAAATATATATCAGCTTGGTCCAAGCCCACGACCCACGACCCGTGACCATGACCGTGCCGTGCCGACAGGTCGGACTGACGGCGACGGCGGCGCGCGCGTGTGAGTTTTGGCTTAACCTACTAGCATGTAAGTTCTCTCCCCCTCTAAAACTATTGGTACCCCTTGGGGCCCAAACCCAAGTCTCAAACTTGAGCTATATAAGGTGGTTTATATTCTTTTAGTTTTCCTATATGGGATTGGTATTTTCCAATTTCCCACCTATTTTATTTCAACATCAAGTGGGTATCTTTTAGACTTAATTTCTCATTCACCCTAAATTGGTTTTGAGAAAATAAATATACCATATTAATCTACTCATGGAGTAGAACACATTCAGCCAAAGAAATTTTATTTCCGATTAACGGGACCCACTAAATTAATTGGTCAAAAGTTGGTCAAACCAACTAATTAAAACCAATTTTTCCAACAAGGCGAAGATAATCATTGGGTTGCTGGATTTGCTTCGGTCTCCGGATGAAGAAAGTGGAGGGGAGGCTCTTTGATTTGGGGAAGGTTGTGTGATTTGGGGTTTTGAGGGAATCGTGAATAATTTCAATTTGGGGAGAAGGCAGGTTAAGGCCCTATTTGGGAGGGATTTTGAAAATTAATTTTTTGACCGTTAAAAGAAAAGTGGGGTTCACCTGTGAGAGAAGAAGTCAAAAATTACGGCTAGAATAGTGAAATAACGGTCAAAAATCAATTTTCTGGGGTAAAAAATTCCTCCCAAATAGGCTGTAAGTTTTTGGGTTCAAATCGATTTTGGAGTTGGCCCGATTTTTTGGGTTCACTTTTTGGGTAAATTAAATGCAAGCTGCCAACTCAGCAGTTTCAAATTCCTGTACGCATTCTGTGCTATTTTTCTGTACGCATAGACTAATTGAAAATATATTGATGAATAGTAATATGTTGGAAAATGTATGGTTACAAAATAAAAAATTTAAATTTGTATAAAATTATTTTATAGAAGAATGTATAATTAAAAATAAGTTTTGAAAAAATAAATTTTGAAAATGAACATACTTCGAATTTTATGCTTTGTTTCACTTTTCCATCATGTTGGCAACTGGGCTTGGTCAAGGCACGTGGATAGAGCGATCTTCTTCAGTGATAATTTTAAAATATTTAATTTTGTGCTTTAAAGATAATCTACTAAATTAAATTATTGGGAATTGATATTTATCATTTTGGATTGAAATTAATATAAGGAGAGAAATTAATATTCAATTATATCAAAAATTAAAAAAAAATCAGTGACTTACTATTTAATTAAACATTTTGTTCTTACAATTTTTATTTTCCGCCAACGAATCAATTTTTATTTTTCATCAACAAAACTCTTATTAATCTTCATGATTTTCATTATAATTCATGCAATGAGTTTTTATTTTTCTTTAACGGAGCAATTTTTAATCTTCATGCTTTACATTTTAATTCATCCATTAAGTTATTGTTTAATTGAGGTACAAATATTTTAAAGGCTACATTAATATACTAATGATGACATTCAATTAATAAAAAGGAAATTACACGCGGAAATTCAATGACTAACATTCAAATGATTTTTTTTTTTTTTTAATTTTCATCAACAAATCCCTTATTACCAATTTAATTAATATTTATCATTTGATGTAGAATTAATATAAGTGGTGAAATATTTAATTGATATTTATAATTTGGGTTAAAATTAATATAAGGAGTGAAACTGACATTCAATTATTAAAAAAATAATAAAATAAATCAATGGAAATTTAGTGACTTATTATTCAATTAAGTATTTTGTTCTTACAATTTTTATTTTTCATCAGCAAAGCAATTTTTTATTTTTCATCGAGAAAACCCTTATTAATCTTCATGATTTAAATTATAATTCATCCATTGAGTTTTTATTTTTCAATAACAAATCAATTTTTACTTTTCATCAACAAAGCTCTTAGTAATTTTCATGATTTACGTTATAATCCATCCATTAAGTTGTTATTTAATTGAGGTTACAAAATTGAAATGTTGCATTAATGTATTAATGAGGTAACAAATGTGCTAAATGTTGCATATATATATATATATATATATATATATATATATTACACGAAAATTCAATGGCTTGTCTTTCAATTGATTAATTTCCCCTTACATTTTATTTTTTTATCAACAAACTCTTATTAATTAATCTTCATAATTTACATTATAATTTATGCATCAAGTTATTATTTAATTGAAGTTGTCAAATTGAAAGGTTACATTAATATATTAATGAGGTTACAAATATGTTATAGTAAATAACTTCTAATTATTAAGGTTTTTGAGATTGACAATAATCATTTCTACTTCCAATTACTTTTACCCAACGTAAAA